TAACACTGAATGCGAAAAATAAAGAAACCATTACCAAATGAAAATTATTAATTAAAGTACTAAACACGAATATGTCTGAAGAGCTGAAAGGGTTGTCAAACATAAGGCCTGTTGACGCGCAACGGTCAAAACAGTAACAACGTATTACAAGATACACGATTTATTTAAGTAAGCTAAACAATAGGAATAAACACCCGAACGATAAGGCTCTAACTGGTGTTTCGGAAAGAGCTTCAAGTTGCTGCATCGAGGAAAAGTCTACTACTCCTAAAAGGGTCATTTATGAAACAATGAGGTTAATACCCCGTCTCCAGAAGTGAAGCAGTCAACTAAAACCAACCACCGTTTCTACCACGGCACTCCGACCCGTCTGATCAAGGCCGCTGTAACAGTGTCGAAGAAAGAATTCCCCCATCAGAGGTCGACTAAGTGTCTGGCCGGCGACGGCTAAATGATGAATTACGGATCGTCGACAACGACGGTCTCGTCGTGGCGAACAGTGACGATCGTTTCAAAGTTCCAAACACCTCTGAGGTAGAGTCTTTCGGCAACGCGGCGAAACGTCACCGAACACCAACTGGTCGGAGACCACGGCCATTTTCACATCGATTTATTACCCCAACGAACGCAAAACAAATAACCGACAAACTCTACCGCCGGTGATTACGACCTACAAGCAGCTATACAAAAGACAACCGCCCGCTATCCGTACGTTTCTCCATGTTGGACCTGTGACAAGACTAAAGAGAAGTGCAGGCGGACATGCAGTCAAGCGGTAGCATCGCCACCGCGAAAACACAATAGCGACAAAATTGAAGGAAATCGTAACAGTTTGTCACAAGAACTTCAAACTTACTCGTTTATCTTAGCAGAATAAAATAACAGAACAAAAAAGGACATAGCCGTTTGGCGAAGGTCTACACCCAACTAACTGACTATACACCTCCAAATAACGCTAGTTCCAGTTTAGATCAGCTCTGCTTTGCTGACTTGAACATCGAGGTATTAATGTTTACGGTTCGCGAAAATCACTTAAGTTTGAGCTACACACACTAACTGCACTGTATTGCCTCTTTGCAGAGGCAGAAGCAGGGCAATACACGACGGTAGTAGCAGTTTCACACGATATTTCTTTCAATGTGATGCAGAACAACGTCTGTGCGATCAACTCACCGTCATTGAAAGACACTTGTATTGGAATGGTAGGATAGATGCAGTGCTGTATACTTTTCCGTACCTTTTAGCGACCATCAGAAGACTATGGCTCTCGGCAGTAATAAACAGCAGATCCGGAACACGCACTCCTGATTAAAACATTCATCATTTCCAGCTTTCTGAGCATGCCCTTTGTGCTTTAAACACTTGTTAGGAAGTGCTTGCAAATTCACTGTTAATCGCATATTTTAATCATCTGCAGCCGTTCTAAAGCCGAGAAATGAAAGTTTCATTTAAACATAATCCGCCTACTTTGCTCAGTGTCTCAGCAAATTACGGAAGAGTTTCTACCTCCTGTAGATACTGAAAATAGACTCTTTAATTAATTTTGCTTCGATTATGCCGAACTTATTATTCCTTGTGCTCCCATTCAAGCGTTATACTTTCAACTAAATAGAATAGCATCAGAAGCTGTTCGTACGTTTGAGTATGTCAAATAACAAATGACTCCTCCAAGACCAGATGTCACTGCGTATCGCACTGTCCCGCTGCTTCTAGTTGCCTAGGTAGCCGTTGCTGGTGAAGGTCCATCATTTCTGGGCACTTGCTGCACCGCCAGAGCCACCTCGCGCTTATCACGGACAATGCTTCTTGAGCTATTTTTCCTCTATACAACCGCATGAACATCATACGCTGTTATTGCAACCCACTGTGTCATATAAGGATTGACTCTTACATAATCAATTTTCACGAGAATTGCACCGTTCTTTAGGTTATAGGTGCCCATTGGAACCATTGACAGATAAACTTGATTGAATGATGTTTTTCACTAGAGGTGGAGGACATGGTAAACTAATTTGAAATTTCTTTCGTTGGCGGAATGATATGGACAGACAGCACAAGCTGTCTCGGCTGACTTTTAGCAACAATGCCTGCAGTGTCTTACAGCAACAGCGGTAGCAGCGTTTTATAGAACGGAATGAAATTAGTAGTCCTACAGTCTGATACGATTAGAAACTAGTCGTTATGTAATTACCTACAAGTTCTGGTACGTTAAAACCTCTACCTATCATAATCCATTACTTCCCATTACTTAAAACTGTAAGAAACACTGTATATTCATACATAACGTAAACAATTAAACAGTCGAATGACTAACCAGCACTGACGCTTCGCCTGATGTCTTAAGGGCTTTCTTGAGGGTGGACAAAAATGATTTTAGAAGTTGTTCTGTTGTCCGCCGCGTTTACAACATTTTTAGCCAATAGGCCTTTTGATTCTGATGATGCTTTAGATGTTTAACTACTTTGTTCTACTCTGTTGCAGCGCCGGTCGACCTTAAACATTTGCAGATAACTTGCGATGAAGTTTGAATTATTCGCATTTATTCAGAGTTAAAACGGATAATCTGCATTATTTCATAACATACATATCTTCTGATTTGTTGATTTGCAGCAAGAAACGAAATTCTTACTTAAACAAAATCAAGCACTTCAGCTAAATGAAGTTCAATTATCATCAGGTAAGAGAAAAATACACATTTTGCATGTTACCCGACCCTATGCCGGTCCAAGCCCGGATGAGAAACATAGAAGGTGACAGACTGTGGCGAAGTTGCCTTAAAAATTAGCCACTTGCCTTTCATAGTATTAACGTCATCGAGAATCATAGCAGCGCGATCGTCACCCGGGTTACCAAGGGTGGTGCAGGCTGTTTTGGGACTGAAGTACGGTGCGAAAAAGCGGCGATCAGAACCTGCTCAGCATCTTTTGGTAGCCAGAAGCGTATCAGAACAATAACGGCTGCCGAATTATAGACGAAACAACGACAGAGATACCAATCAGCAACCGAGTCGCTACACACTCCGAACAGAGGAAACAAACGGAGGAATGCAATTATAGCACGTCAGGAAAACCTACATGAGAATGACACCGACAGGGGGAGCTTACATTCGAAAATTGGAATATATCCTCACTCAGAGGGAAAAAGGAGGAGTTTGTTGATGAGGCCATAAGATACAAACTCGACATTGTGGGACTCTCGTCAACGAAACGCAAAGGCTCTGGAATCCTGAACCTTTGCGGGTGGAAACTATCATACTCTGGTGTCGATATCACAGCCCGCCTCAGGCCGGTATTGGTGTTCTGGTAGAGCCCAACCTGGCGAATGCCAATGAATGGAAGCATATCAGCGAAAGAGTGGAAATCCTCCAACTGAAGATAAAAAAGGCTAAAGTATTGAACTTCTTACAAGTTTATGCGCCTAATTTAGAGGGAGAATACGACTCCTCTCCTGAGGAAGCGGAGTGTGCTTTGTGCGAAATGTCGAATACGCAGTCCGTCATTATCAGGGGCGATTTTAATGCGCATGTCCGAGTAGACGCTGAAAAGTGAAAAGACAAGATTGGAAAGAACGGTTCTTGCGACTTCAACATTGACGGCATGAAGTTGCAGCAGTTTTGTGCAAACAACGAACTGTCCACTATGAACAGTTTTTTCGTTCATCGAAGCGTGCATCAGTATGCCTAATACAGAGATGCATATTATTACACTTGTTTATAAAATTTCCTTCTTCTGTACTACAAAGATGCTATATTACTGTTCGGACGGCTAATGCTGAGAACCCTACCAGAAGTACGTCCAGTTACAGACAGTTTGTGCGGCCGTTCGGTTGATTCATGTTTCAGGGCAGAAACAAAACCGACGGCAAGAATAAAATAGCCAGTTCGCAACTTTGATCCCACAAGCACACGTTTTATGACCTTTGAATTCTGTAAGAACTTTTAAATTTATCGTTCAGTGGCATTAATTTGCCGTTTCCTTTATTCAATACATCACTTTTTCTGATGTTCAGAAATGACACTTCAAATTTACCACATTAGCATTCAATTCATTTTCTACTCTTAACACTGTATCTTCGACTGAAATGCGTGCGACTGACATAACCTACAACGTCATGAAAATATCTCCTCTAATGCAGCTTATACAGTCGATTATTCATTTCACATGCTGGTGAAACATAACACAGCACATCACCATACCACCACTGCTTTTGGGATTCAGATTAATTTGCAACGCATGTTGCAGTTAGCATATTCACATCCTAACGCTGCATTATTCTGTTGTCATACAAGGTTATGAAATGAATATACATAGAAGGGCAATAGCAGATCAGTTAAATACGCACAAGCAGCTGTTCTTGCAACGCTGACATTTGCAGGTTGTTAACACCGACCACCAGACAAACCTGCAAGAAAAGTCACTCGCTCTCACTTTTTCTTTTTCCGCATGGAGTCTTGGCAGCATCAATTGAAGTTTCTTTTGGATTAAATGTTCAAGACCAGTGGGGATATCTCATCAATGGATAACCTTGAGTCCGGCTGTATCGAATGACCATGTTTTTTTTTGTAAAACGATCTGGTGCGTTCTGTGAAAATGCACAGAATTATTTGATCAGCTATGTGTGGTTCCACATCCGCTTTATTTACGACTCCATCAAAGTATAAGAAAATAACAGTTTCATATTAGGAAATTCTTGGTATCAATGTTCCGTGAGCACTAACGCTGTGTCATGTATCTTACGCTTTTAAAATTCTGTTGATATATAGGCGGTTGATAATTTACGGGTCATTTTTTTGTGCTGCAAGGCAAACCAAGGTGAACTTTAGTTACAGAGAACATAAAACAGACTGCATTGCCATACATCTCGCACTCTGGCTTGGTCGTATCCAAGCACCGTACGGTAGCTCATTAATCACAGCCTAAAAATCATATAGCCTGCAAAACAGACTTAATCAGCTCAATTTCTGTGTATCATAACAATAAAGATAGCCTCTACCTAATTTTCCAAAATCGAATATCTGAACGCGTTTTAAAACTTGTAGTCAAGTTAATTGTACGTTTTCATAACTATGTTCAAAGCACAGGCTACCTACGACGCACATCGAAAGTAGCAAGACTACCGTTATACGCGTGACAGTGCTTTGGCGAACTGGCAAAGTTTTGCTGCAAACTCCGTGAAAGTATGACTGCTACTGCGATGGCCTAGCAAAGAGTTAAAATATGAGGTAAAGTAATATAGAAAACTTTAGTCTAATATGCGGTCGAATTCGCGTTGAAGCGTTTTATTGATAGTGAAATATCGCATAAAGATTCATGCAAGGTTTTACCGGTGGCGGAAGAGATTTTACATTGAAGGTGACGGGCGCCGTACACTTAAAACTGAGATTACAGCTGCGTTTGATCTGTGGACTTAGAAAGAACCTCGACATATCGCGTGATAACATACTTATCCATCGGTCTCGCCGGAGCGAGCTTTCTGAGCTTCGCTTGTACAGCCGTGAAACGTATCGGGGTTGGGGATCGTATTGCTGAGCATTATACACATTGGTGTAAGTGACTGCAGAGGCTCTCGCAATTCGGTAGCGAGGTCTCGACTATTGTCCTGATGCCAGATCAGTGCAGTCACGACTACCATCTGTCCAGCGACATGCTTGAATGATCATCCCCTTAAGCGGTTCACATGAACATCACGTTCATCTGTTTTTTTGTTTTATTATGAATCCGCTGAATTTGCAGCTTATCAATACCATTGTTGTAAGGCGCCGATTACTGCATTGTAGAATAAAATATTCCTTTCAGAAAGCAGATCTGCCTCTATCTTTTGGAATCTTGCCCAATATTTTGACAATCGGTGGGCATCGATTTGCAGCACCAGTAACTCTCGACCACTCCTGCACCTCACCACTGCGATAACATCGGATCGAAGTTTATCGCTGGTGACTAGACTCATCGAGAAACTAAACGAGGTCGAAGAAATGGTTGGCAAGAGGCTGCCGAGAGGACGTCACCGGCAGAAATGATAATTACTTTCTTGCAGTTGTAGAACCCTCCTCTCAAAATTGGATAAACTTTTTGCCTTGATGGGCCTGCCAGTATATTGCAGTGCATACGCATGATGATCCTGGAATCATGGCTTTCGCCATCTGTTGATAATGAGATTGTAGTCATCGATAATTTTGACTG